TTAAATAAAAGTTAAAAAAAAACTTATACAATAATATTTTTCTTTTCTCTCTCAAGAAACTTACTCTCAAATAAGACTAGCTACTTATGAATTTAAAATATCCAGGGATGGGTGCTTCACTTAGCAGTTAAGATGTCAGTTGACAGATGTACACATTCCATACTGAAGTGACTAGGTTCAGGTCCTAGCTCTAATACCTGACTCTGCTTCCTGCTAATGCATGCCCTGGGGGGCAGTTGTGATGTCAATGAGCCTCTGTCACCATGTGAGAGGTCTGGATTGAGTTCCTCTCTCAACAGCTTCAGCCTCACTTAGCACTGACTGTTTCAGGAATGAACCAGCAAATTGAAGATTCGTTCTCTCATTCTCTCTCTCTCTCTCTCTCTCTCTCTCTCTCTCTTTATCTCTCTGTCTCTCTCTGTCTCACCCCTACCTCAAATAAGTTCACTTTTAAAAATCCTTCATAAAATATCTAAGTTGCTTCAGTGACCATGTCTAAGTTACTAAGATATCAATCATAGCTAACACAAAGCATGTTGTTCTCCTTTGCTGCCATTCCCCCTGCCTTTAAAACTCAGTGATAGTGGATTTTTTACAAGTTTATTTGGTATCTTTAATGTTCAGTTTGTTCACCTGTAAAATGGGCATTCAATGTCTGCCTCTTAGGATTGTGATGCCTCTTAGGAATTAAATATAATTCTCTTAAAAATTGTTTATTGAGCCCCTGGAACATTCTTTGTTGTACTCAGGAAGTGCATTCATGAATTAAAAAAAAAAAAAAAAAACCTGCTGCCTGCTGTCATGGAGTTTGAGGATGATAGACAACAGACATGTGTAAGATTATTTCAGATGTTAGTAGTACTTTGAAGGAAAATAGAAAAGACTAGGGAAAATGAGAATGATAGAGTTCTGAATTGAATTGCATGCTCATGAAGAGATGAAATTTGAAAAAGAGACCTGCAGGAAATGAGGGAGAAAGACAAACAGAGAAAGTGTGCCAGGAAATGCCAGG